ATTTATTTAAACGAAGAATTATAGAGGGATCTTTTTTAACTATTTATAACAATAAGACAATAAATAAACGGAATGAACTCAACACGCTGTGCGACACAAATCTCTTCTATTTAGATAACATTTCCAAATTCTTACAAAACATAAAAGCGTTCGCGCAAAGGTTTTACAATTCGTTCCCACATGTGCAGAATCTTGGTAAAAATATTTTTTAGAAAAATGTCTTTCTCCATTACATCTTCAACCAGTCTACGAATAACACACTATCCATTTGTGATTTTTTCAAATCAGTATTTTGTGAAAATATTGTGTAATTTCAAGTTAATGTTTATAATACATAGTGTAGTGCATTACCATATCCTAATACCATGGATTACTAAAGTTTTCCAAATTAACACTAAGATCAACTAATTGTAAGTACTAATTACTATTTTATTTTTCCTTTCACTCCAATTCAATGTTTTAGTTTTTAATTTATTTTTAGTTTCCACTGAATGAAGGCTAGGATTATAGCCGAAACGTATGGATTTAAAATAAATTTTTGAAAGAAATTCATATTTTTTATTGATGTTATGCCCGATTATTAGACTTTGTTAATATATATATATATATATATATATATATATAGTTTGAAAATTTGTTACATAAAAAAATTAAGACCTGATGTTCTAAAATGATATAAATATTTAACAATAAAATGTTTTGCGACTCCAGAATTTTTCCATGCGACCCCATTTGGGGTCGCGCCCCATAGTTTAACAAGCCCTGAAATAGTACATCGAGGATGTGCAAATAATTCTTCGGTTTAGTTAAAATAAATGCACATTTCAAATTTTATGGCTAATTGATTGTCTATGTGTTTAAATTTTTAAAATGATTTCTTATGATCAAGCTCGTACAATATTTTTAATGAAAAAATTTTCCAATAATTTTTTGATAATTAAATTATTACTTTATTAGATATTCAAATTTGACTGTATTAATTTTCTAAGTAATTTAATTTGTAAAATAAAGTTCAATTTGAATGTAAATTTTGATTTTACAAAAACAATTCAGAATTTAATCAAATGTGGAATACCTCTTAATTGCTAGGTAATATATACGGGAGCTAGAGGCTTATCGTAACAGTTTTTTTTTTTACTTAATACATTTTGAGATCCACTGATTATATTTTTACGAAATAAAGCTAGATAGATGCTTTAACTATACTTCTACCTAATCAAGTAATAATAATTCCAGAATTTTTATTTATTATTTCATAATTAATCATTTTCTAGAAAAAGTGCGGTGTTACAACTTACTCCGTGTTTGAGGCTATACTTGTAACATCCATTGAGGCTAGTAATAACGACAATAATACCTCTGATAATTTATTTTATTACTTAGTTTTTAAGGAAAGTGGATTATTTCTATATAATTATTTTAATAAATCAAGCTATAATTAATACAAACTATATACATTCAACCCAATCTTGTTCATTTGAATCTGTACATAATTCTTGTATGTTACAACTAGCCCCAAAGTTTTTTATCTAACCTTTGGTGTGAGTTTTTTTACATGAATCAAGATCCTATTTAAAAAACTTAGCAATCACAAAAATTGTTACACATTATCAAAGATTGATAGATTCTAAACGAAATAAAATACATAAAATTTAAAATTAGTCGATAATAACGCAAATCAAAATTTTATGATAGTTCAATTTTATATCGCCAGTCAAAAATGACGCTACTGCACAGTTCTGTTAACTGCATCGGCCTACGGGTCAGTAGCTATCCGAGTCGAAATTATCATACAGGACGGTTTACACGTCCGATTGAGACAAAAAATATTTTAATGTTGACCAAAATATTATTAAAAATTCTCTGTTAATACTTACCTCTGTAACATATTATATAACATATGTTACAGAGGCAAGTAGCTACCCTTTTAAATTTAGTTTATTGCGAATATCATCAAACTTAAATCATGAAATATACATGTACCTTGTGCAAAATTTATTAAAATCTATTTATCTATTTTTGAATGTTTATAAAATTGGCATTAGCATTTTATTGCGGAAATCTAAAAATCAATGAACGGTCACTTTCTCTCGCTTAAATCATACCTTCACCATTCCATTAGTCCGGTCATTATTTTTATATAACCTATCGATTGCGCAATGCTTTTTTTTAATATTCGTTAATGTTTCGTAAATTTAATCTCAAAATTGCTTTAAAATCTACCACATTTAAGATTAATATCAAAGCAATTGTCTTCAATTAATTTGTAATGCTGCTACGGCGTTTAATTAGAAGTTTCGTTTTCATTGTTATGAGTCCAAGGCGGTAATGCGTTTCAACTTGACGATGTTGCATCAGATGTGGCATATAGAAAATTACCTGTTTCCTTGCATTTGTAATATATGCTATGTCGAACCAGACGATTAGTCATATCTTGATCATCGTAACTCCTTTTTACAATATTTGCATCATAATAGAGTGATTAAAATAAATAATGAATTAAGTTTTTATATTCGCAAAGTTTTTCTCAAGATGTTTTATTTAACTTCCTTGTGGTAGTTAATAAAATCAAAAATGCAACAAATGGACATTCGATTTTTTTACGTTTTAATACCTTTTCATAATTAATAAATTTGCCTCTATAACTCATTCTAAGGTCTTAATGATTTTGATTATTGAGTTGAAAATTTTAAATTTAAGGAAAAAGTTTACTTTAGTTTTAACATTGAAAAAATTCAAACATCGATTTGTCACTTAATTAAAATCTACTGAATTATTGTACTGATTTAAAATCTTAGTATTCTTAGTCATATTTACATTCTTTAATAAATATTTCGAGGAACCAAGCAAAAGATTCAAACAAATTCTTATTTTATTATTTTATTTTAAATATAAAACAATTTTTAAATTCCAGAAATTTAATGATTTTTCCAAAATTGTGGATATATGAATAAATATGCATTTCTATATTTTGGGCAACTATTTAATATCTGAATAAGTCTGATTAAAAAAATTCTTTAAATTTCTTCAGCAAATGCGAATATCTCTGGAAAGTACCTCTGGAGCAATTACAAATTATTAAAATATATTTTGTCCAATGTAAAATTAATAATTTTTTTAACTTCCCGTAGGGCAAGTTATAGTAATCGCAAAAAAATCGAAAATGAAAATTTTTGCTTTTCTCGACGCTTTGAAGGTTTCTGAATTTTTGGCATACCTCAGAAAAAATGGATGTATGTGTGTGTGTGCGTGTGTATGTGTGTGCGGATACAAATTTTCGTCGACGATTTCGGGAACATCGATCAACCGATTTGAATAATTCAAAAAACAATCGATTCATATTGATAAGGAGACGTGCTGATTAGTTTTTGGCAAAGGCAGGTCTAGCCGTTCCGAAGATACTGGACAAAAATTGCCAAAAATGGTAACTCGGTTTTTAAGAGAACGGAGCGTCCGATTTTAATAATTTAAAACATTTTACTTGTAATGACAAGATGAAGAATTGATCAATTTTTTATGAAGGCAGGTCTAGCAGTTCCGGAGATCTAGTGAAAAAAGTAAAAAAATGCCATTTGGCGGTAAAAAATGATCATTAGACATATGCACATCAAATTACCATATATCTTATAGAGATTTTACATTCCTATGGGGTCCGTACCAATGTTCATCCGTTAGACGGCGACGCGGCGCTTATGCGCTTTGACATTTCGTCTCTATGCAGTTAAAGCAGTAAGATTTCTTTGAAAAAAAGTTCAGAATTTTCAAAATATGTCAAAATAAAGAAAAAAATTTTTTTTTCAAAAAAAGTAACTTTTTGTCAAATTTATAGTTTTTCAAAAATCTAATTTTTTTGAAGTAAATTTTTTTCAACAGTGTTAATCTTTTAAAAAAAATAATAATTTTTGGTACGGGAAGTTCCAGCAATATGCTTTAAGGCACGATGCCATGCGCCCCACTAGTTAAAATTTGCATTTTTTACGAAATCGATTTTTTTTTACTAAAGTTAAGTAATGTGTATGCATGGAGGCTTAATTTTACAATTGAGAGACTAATTGAGGGTGATGGTAACGATAAATAAATTACATTTATCCAAATAATTCACAAATTTTATTTTTCTTCGAACATTAAGGACTATTTGATCGTACTTTTTTACTGAAAATATATATCTGAAAAACTCATTAAGAAATTAACACTAAAGTTTAAGTATGTATTTGAAAGTTACTAAGAATATTTAGATTGTTTGTCACTTAAAGCATTTGTAATCTGATTAATTATTTTTAATAAATAACTAATTCAAATGAATATGTTATTTAGAAATGTAGATACAATTATATTAATCCATGATATCTTAATTAAAACGAAATTATTTAATTGGAAATTTCTGATTACTTTTATATTTTTGAAATATTGCAAATTTATGATTTTGAATATTTTTTTTTAGATTTTTGAAAATTGTAATTACCACTTTTTTTCCCAACCAACATTGTGTACATATTTCTAGTACCTACAAAATTTATGGAAAGTTTTTGACAAATTGTTGTTTTGTCAATTCTGCTAAAAAATGAATACATGTGATATATTATTAGACCCCTCTCGCGTTTTTGAGCCCCACGTGATTAATCTGCGGCTCCTATCCCATGATAAATAGATTAAGAAGTGAGGAGAAACCATTTTTGTTTTGTTCAACTATATTACTTGTTCTACGAATGATTAATATGTTAATTGTAACATAAAGTCTGTGTATATGATTTCTTAAATTTCGAATTTATAAATGTTTGTAAATGTTAAATTCTCCGCCACGAGAGTTCATTCATTCCATGTTTTTGCTGACTATGAGATATAACAGTTTTATCTCGTATCACCATTAGTCGTGCAGTTTCACACTTGTTGTGTTACAAATAGTAGTAATAGTTGATAGAGAGTTGTTTTACAATAGTCGTATTGCGTTTTGCAGATGTGCCCGCCCAGGTCCCGCCTCTCACGCCCGGCACCAACAAGACCATGTCGGAGGCGCTGCAGGCGTCGTTCGCATCCTGGGAGAAGGAGCAAGAGATGCTCAACATCACGAAAGGTTCGTATCTAGATAGATTTATTATAGATTATTTATCTAAGATTTATATTTGTATTTATGGTATTTTATGATAGTCTTAGATCTAAAAGGTATCTCGGAGCAAAGAGTTGACAAACAATATACAGTCGGTATGACCATTATACAATTATACAAATACAAAAGTACCCGGAAAATAAAATCAACATTCGACTGTTTGTTTTTATTTGCTTCAAACACTTAACGTAGTACTAAGAACACTTCATTAACTTCGCGAAAAAGGATTCTTTTGGTCAGAAAATTCGATAATTTTGTTTCCCGACGTTTCACGACATTCTGAATCGTTTTAAAGCAAAATTAGAAAAGTATCCGTATTGAGCAAGAGATGCTCAACATCACGAAAGGTTCGTATCTAGATACATTTATAATAGATTATTTATCTAAGATTTATATTTGTATTAATGGCATTTTATGATCGTCTTAGATCTAAAAGGTATCTCGGAGCAAAGAGATTTCGGTATGACCATTATACAATTTTCAAACTCGGAAAATAAAATCAACATTCGACTGTTTGTTTTTATTTGTTTCAAACACTTAACGTAATACTGAAAAGTACTTCATTAACTTCGCGAAGGAGGTTTGTTTTGATCAGAAAATCCGATAATTTTATGTTTTTCAGACGTTTCAAGTCATTCTAAATCGCTTATTACCGAAATTACAAAAAGTATATATGTAAGCGTATGAGTATTAGTGTATTGAGTCAAAATTGGATCTCAAATCATTACATATTGATCAAAACATACATTTGATTTGAGCCATTTGATGCAACTCTATAAGTGATAATATATGCAGTTAAGTGCAATTTTTTTGCTAATGTTTTCAAAAAATTCCAAACCAAATTTGAAATTTCAAATAGTTTGTGAAAAATATCAATTAGTAATCGTGCTAATTAGTTTTTGGTAAAGATGGGTCGCAAGTTTCTTCATAATTATTTGTTACATTTTCTATTTACTATTTTAATAGTAAAAAATGTCGGTTAGAACGTGGGCTAGCACCAACTAGTACCGGATTTGCTGGTTCGATTCCCGCTACCGCCGTAGCCCGACATCAGGAAACTTTGATATCAAATTTTCACTTGGGGTTATAGATCACAATATAATTTCGTAAGACGTAAGAGCTAATATAAACCCCACATATAGGAGAATGGTAAACCGATGGGTTGCTTCTCATAAAAATACGTTAGGTCATAAGTCTTCAACAAACAGCTTATAGAACATATAAAGTAAGAGTTCTGATTGCTGTTGAAACAATAATAAAAAAATGCCCACAATGCCACGTTCTTAGGGCATACAACGTGTATGTCATTAGCGGGTGTTTATTATAAAATGTTTTTATTTACACATATTGGAAAATTCACCTAGGTCACCAGGTCACATCTCAATGACTTTGCCAGAATTTTGCTACAAGATAACTCCCCAAAAAGACTAAAATGCATGTACCCGATGCAAATTAGTATTTAGAGCAATATGCTGCCACCACAATTTAAGTTGTTTTAGCAATTTGGAAGTAATACAACCTGTATCAATAAATATACTAAATGTTCGAACGGACAATATAAATCTTTTATGAATAATAATAAAAAAAAAACTGAAAAGGTCTAGTTAGCTATAGATTTATCTGCGTACCAACAAAATACTTTTCATGCTTAAACATTTTATACTAAACCTTATATAGTAAAATTCTAGTATATAAATGATCTAAATGATTACAAGTTAAGAAAATAAAAGATATATTGTTTTTTTTTAAAGTCTCTTTTAATATGTGCCAAAAAGTTAATGTTTTTTAAATTTTTGAGGTTAAACAAATATTATGAATATTTATACAAAATCAATCAGAACGATAACCAAATGGAACTATTCTGATTTTTCATTTTTATTATGATTTTACTGTTATTATTGTTATGTCTAGGTTTAGCTTTTCTCTATTGGTATCGTTTTTCATTTCACGTGGTGCATAAAATAGCAATGATTGTTTGCTTTTCATCTTTTAGTGCATGATACATTTAAAGAATTAGATGAACTATATTTTTCTATTATCCCTTCTAGATGATTTGATTTTCAAGAAATTCATAAAGCTAAATTTCAGTGTATTGTTTGTCAATCTAGTATTTAGTAATTACTGAGACTATTGATTAAAATATGTAATTTAATGAAATTTGAATGAAAAAAAAATGAATATGGTATAAGTTATAGCATAAGCATAAAATATCGATAACGAAGCAGTCAATATTTTGCACAACTATTTTCATAATCCAGAAATTAATTGAGCTGCACAATTACATTGTGAATTAGTGCAACTTTGTTAGTCGAGGCATTTTGTTCTAAAAATTTCATAGTTTTTGTCGTACAATTGTAGTAAAAGTTCTAACATGATCTTTAAGTGACATTTTCTAAAATTGTTCATGTCATAACTATTTATTTTCAAGCTATAATTTTGTGAACTATGATTTTTTTCTTCTCATGGGTCTTTATGCACTTACGCTTGAGTCATACACTTTCAATGCAGAGAATAAAGAAAACATGGAATTAAGCTTATACCATCGTGTTCTTTTCATAATCATTTTGTAAAACAATCCCTCCGGCGATTTAAATCGATTTGCTAATAAAAGTCTTTGTGCATCATCCGGAATGATTATAATATACGGTTTCGTTACGCTAGTGAAATGTAGGTGAAATCTTAATTTTGTTCCACTTGATGAGCTCTGGAGGTCATAGCGTATGTGATTCATAATGCAAGAAAAATATACAACGAGCACATGTCGCTTATTATATATTATATCAGCGATTTCCAACCTGTGGGGCGCGCCCCCCTAGGGGGGCGTCATACCGTCCCAGGGGGGGCGCAAAGCTATTTCAAAAATATTATTTTTAAATGCTGAGAAAGTGTCAAATACAAATCAGCAAAATACGTGCAAGTAATCCACAATTTTAGCTGCAATTTTGTCAGGATAAATGTACTTCAAAATGTACTACTTTATAATTGTGAAGCACGTTGGCTTCAAAGAGTGTTTGAGCTCAAAAAAGAAATTGCCATATAATTCTTGCTGATAACAAAATAGATGAAGCAGGCTTGTTTTAGAACACAAAGTTTCTCTCAAAATTTGCGTATTTAGTTGATATTTTTCAAAGACTAAGCGATTTAAAATTATCAATGCAAGAGAAAATATGTGCTGAAAAACAGGCTCAACCGTCGCATTAAATTTTTTTAATGTTGTGTTAACTATTATTCTATGATTTGTTTTCATTAAATTTATAATTATTTTTTCTTATAATTAATAGTTATGTTTGTATGTATATTTTATATAATATTTTGTATTATTTGGCTTAATTTCAGTTAAGTATATTTAAATTAAACTATTAGAAAAATTAGGGGGGGCGCAATATTGTTTTCTTTCGAAAGGGGGGCGCAAGGAAGAAAAGGTTGGAAACCGCTGTATTATATGGTCCGCGTACATGCGATTACACTTGTTGCCAGGCACTAAATATAATATAAAACTACCATTGGATGCATGGTGCAGTAGAATTTTTAGATGGAACTTAATTGAATTTTATCATATCATCTGGCTGTCCTTAAAATAAATATAATATCGTGAACTCGTGAACATAAATAGGGTAGAATGGGGCTTAAAAACGTCCACCACTAATATCTGAAAAACAAGCAAAGTTAAGAATTTTTAACAATATTTGAAAGTAGAGGGAAAATGATGTATAACTTGCCATCACATTGATTCTTACGACGTTTATCTAGTCTTGTCTATCGTTTTGTTTTTTTCTTCGGTTGTGAGCACTGTTGTTTAGTTTACGAATCTTCAATATAATTTCTAAGTATACGTTATTTTTTTATGAGATGTAATGTTAATATAAAGTTAGTTTCAACAGTTTTTTTATATAACCTGTATGAAAGCTTACACGTGGCTGGAATAAAAAGGATCAACTGAACCTTTACTCTGGTAAATACCCTGGATAATGTAATCTGGTAAATAATGATAAAAAAGTAAAATAAGTTAAAAAAGGCAATTTTACAAGAGATTAAAATTAAATTAATAATTATTCCAAATCTGCTGAAGATTTCTGACAAAATTCCATACAGTGTTATCTCTGTAAAAAATGTATCCATGAGATTCATATATTGCATTGATTGAATAATGTAGCTATCACTTCGCAAAATTCCTTTAGAATAAGACATTGGGCCTGTTTGCCCTCTGGCCGTCCCATTTTATTCTGTCTATGGGGTAAGAAGCACCAGGTAACAAATTTTTGAAAAGCAGCAAAAAAAAACATTTTTTCACAATTATGAATTAGCCAGCAGTTTTACTGAATATAGTCAGATTGTTGTTTGTTATGTGTTAATTGTTATGATATAACTGGTTTGGTTCTCACAATATCACTGCTCAAAGTCAAATTGGACCTTTGTGCTCGGCCCAACCATATATCAAAAACATAAATTTTATGTAAAATTGAGTATTAAATTAATAAAAATTTTCAATCATATACAAACTGTCATTTTTAAAATTATAATTAATTCTTAAAAATTGAAATTAATTTATGCAAAATATTTGATTTATATTAGATATAAAAGTTTACCGACCCAATTTATATTAAATATTTAAGTGAAAATATTTCTCAGTTCTAATTGTTATTTTTTTAAATTTTTCTTTATAAATTATTATATGTATAATTTATTATACGTGTACATTTAAAACGTTATTCTATCTTCATATTTACATAAATTATTTCACGAAATTTTCTTTTATGCGTTGAAGTAAAATTTATCTAATATGTTACTCTAATAATACTGTTACTAGCCTTATATAGTGTCACATCTATAAATAGTAATAAAATATAAATCATAAATATTACGAATGTAACAATTAATATTAAATGCTTTACATGATGTAATTCTTATAATGGGTATAGTGGATTAACGGTTTATAACGGATTATGAAATTAAATATGCTTACTTGGCTAATTATGGGTTTATGAATCATTCGAACAAAAAGTGCAACATTCACTAATTATTTATGCAAAGATTATATGACGTAATATATTCATATAGAGATAATATATATATACATATATATATATATATATATATATATATATATGTATAAATATATAAAAATGCTCTAAAATGATCTAAATATATTATCGTAAGGGTTAATATGTCATGTTAGTTGCTTGAATCCGGGCGCATAATTTTTACTTGAATTACATTCATTCACTCTACATTTCTCGGAACGTGATTCACGATTCTTTATGAGAGGAACAAGAAAATTTAATTGAAAAAAAGTTTGTACTTTATTTTATTTTAAATTTACATTTTAAAATTTTATTTTATGCTTAATATTATTCATAAAATTATTATCAACTGTAGAAAAAAAATTACTTTACTTTATTTCTATAAGATTAATATTGAATAGCATTATTGAATTACATTAATATTAAACAAATATCATTATTAATACATTTTTTATTATATACGAATATAATATAATATATATTATAAACGAATTATTAGTATTTTATTTTTTCAATATCATTGAAAACGTTTGAGCTTAGTTGCAACGTACTATGTTCGACGTCTTAAAAATCCAGTTATTCTTGTTTTAAAAAATCCAAAAATTTATTCTTGTTTATTTTTGATTTTATTGTTTTTGTGATGTTAATAAAATATTTCAAAATAGTACACATTCTCATACCATAGAGAGTAGTGTTATATTTAATATTAGGGCATCTAACTTTAATTTCCACTGAATGAAATAAACTTTCAAAAAATGCACTATTTATATTGAAGTAATGTGTGGGAATATATATATATATATATATATATATATATATATATATACTTGATTAATTTCTACGTTATGATATATAATTTCTAACTTATCATTATCAACATTTAAAACACTTACCCGCCTGTGTTATTTGCAATTGAGCGGTTGCTATTGCCATTCATCTTGTTGGCAATTAATAACAACATATGATGATAAATAATAATTTATTAAACATCAAACTATTACGTACTCATATATATTATACTAATTTCAGCAGTAGATAGAAGTCCGTTAAGTAATTATAAGGCTTAACATAAGTGCGGTACACTTAGTTGTCCAGGTTCTCACGGCTCAAAACGCACCATGCATGACGCCCGCGTGGGGATGGACTCTAGTAGAGCCAAACCATGATACAGTTTCACGTGCATACGGTATCCACTGTGGTGCAATTAGGCTTACCTTTTGATGATTTTATGGCGATATTTTATCGAATAGAATAAAACAATATTTGATACAGTGTAATTCATAATACTGGTACTATTAGAACTTCGAATATATTTCTTCCGAAATGAATTTTTGGTACATTTCATTGGGACAGTATTTACGTTCTTTTACAAACTTTAACCTAATAGGTTTATCCGAGTAGTCTACAGTTTAATTGAATAAAATAACAACTCTGCTTTTATCTGCAGATTTTTTCCTTATCTTATAAAACGTGACAATGTCTGAAAAAAAATATTTTCAGCAGCAATTAGAATATACAACTCATATAATGAGCTATTTAGTTCTATTCATTCACTCACACTATAAACACACTCACACATGAAATTATTGTGCTAAATTCTTGTAAGTCGATAGTTGTCACTCCAATGTCGCTCATTCACCAATTCAGGCTCAGATCCCCATAATGTTATAAAGTTTTTTTTTTCAGAAATACATAAGAATTTCTATAAGCTAAATTTGACAATATTTGAGAGCGATGTCTAAGAAGAGCTCCAATGAGATCTTCTTAGTTTAACAATTATAAAGATAATGATATATTGAAGCTAATCTAAGACTAAATCTAAAGGCTATTGACGTTTCAATCTTCTAACGCCAAATGGTTGGATAATGTCGCCTATTGATAGGTTTGAATGTGATTCCAGTTTGCGTTTGTATTTTTCCTTAAATTCTTTGAGCGTTAATTGCACCTTTTTCATGTTGAGATCGCCGTGAATGGTTATATTTGTATCATACCACGGAGAATTAAGTATTGTACATAAAATTTTTGACTGAGTTCTCTGCATTATAGTTATATTTGATTTGTAAGCACATCCCCAGATCTCAATTCCGTAGGTCCAGATTGGTTTAATGATTGATTTATATAGCAGTAACTTATTTTCAACAGAGAGCTTAGACTTTTTACGCAGTAGCCAATCAAATTCTTTCATTTTGATCATTATTTGCTACTTTTTTGTTTTTATGTGGCTTTCCAAGTAAGTCTGCTGTCTAAATGGAGACCAAGATATTTCACTATGTTCTGTTTTGGAATCTGGACGTTATTTAAATAAATTGGAGGACACGTACATGTTAAATGCCTTAAATATTGTTTTAAGTATTGGGATCTTTTTCTTCTTAAATCTTCTACAAACTGATGTTTTAAGAAGTTGAGCAACTATAGAATTAGGATGATCTTCAAGCTTTAAGAAATGGGAACAAAATCTAAATTGAGATTGAGACAATCCAAATAAGTACTAAATTTATGTATCAATTTTGCAGCACTATCATACTGTTAACACATCATCATAATAATTTGATCAATTTATTTTAATATATTTTTTACCTGTTCAATCAGGGTATCAATTCAAAAAAGTGCCCTTAGCATAAGGCAAAGTTGACCAACATCAGAATAAACTTGTAGCAAATCTATACAACACGACGTATTATATAAGACTGAATATTTTAATTAACATAATAGTCATTAATATAATATATTATTTTAGTTTATATATCACCATATTACGTAAGTTTTTTGGTACATTCTATTTGGACAGCACTTACGTTCTTTCTCAAACTTTTTTTTTCTCTTATAAATTACAATCTGTCTAATGAAATACATTGAGTAATTAGTAATTTTAAAAGGAAAACTTAGTGGTTCACCTTTTATTAATGTACGAAATTATATCTTAATTAAATTTTGATATTTTTTTTACAAACTTTAACCAAATAAGTTTATCCAAGTAGTCTTCAGTTTAATTGAATAAAATAAACACTTGACGTTTATCCGCAGATGTATGTGTGTATGTACGTACTTGTGTTTATAATTGTATATGCATTTCATATGTTTCCCTTTTTTGTAAAATAGGATTAAAATTAGATGTGCAGTACAAAAACAAAAGGTGAACCATTGGGTTTTTCTTTTAAAAAGCCACTGTGAATTCTCAAACAAATTCCTCAATGTCTGTTTACTGGCAGATTCTCATTTATATTATATAAAATATATTTTTGCTTGAATTTGTGTATAGCTTTCCAAACTCTATACTATTGTTTAGAATCAATTGAACATTGTCATACACAAGCATTTAATTGCATTGCATTTTCTTCTACATAAACTGCAAAACATATAATGATTATGAAGCTTATGTATCAAGTCTGTAAAAATAATACCTTAAAATGCTCAAAATATGCGTAAATGAAGTAAGAACTGCTATCTTAAATATATTTTTTTATTTTTCAAAACCATGCACTATATTTAATTTTCAAAGACTCTTGCAAAAATATATAGTAATTAACACCAACTTCAAGAAGACTGAAGAAAAAACTGCCCGAAGATAATATGGAGGAACCTTAGAACTACCACAACCTTATATGAACAGAATAGTAGAATCACTTATTGAAGTGATTCTCTAAATATGATTGTAATATTTATCTGATAAATTTATATGTGTGTTTGAAAGTGTGTGTGTATGTGTGCGAGTGAATGACATAAGCCAAATAGCTATTCTGATTGCTATTGAAAATAAAAATTAAAATAAAAATTGAAAAAAAATTAACAATTCTTATGAAGAAAATAAAGTAACAGGTGGGCATTCAAGTTTTCATATAGTTTATATATTAAAATATTGTATTTATTCAAGTACTAATTTTATTGTCTGAAGTAACCCGTATGAAAATATCTTACATTTTATAAAATATGTCACTTATGTACAAAAGTAACCGATGAAATATAACTACCACATTCTAATTTACACAAAACTTATATAATTTCTTACTATATTTAATGAAGGAACCCCTATCGACTGCATCCTATCACCCTTTCACTCATGACCCTAATTTATCTCTTCACGCGTCAATAAGCAAAGGGTCAGGTGGCGCACTTGGCAGTGCTCTGCTGAGCTACAAGGTTATGAAGCATGTAACTAATGAAAATCGTTCTTCATTTTATCGTAACAAGTGGGAGCCATGAGTTATAAAGTCATTCTTCTGTAAAGCTAATATTTCGAACCTACTTGCTTTTGTTCAAAAATATTTGTATGTACAGGGTGTCATAGACCTTGACGTCAAGCCGAAAGGGGGTGATAGTATTGACCTTAACTATCCTGAAAAGAATTAGAATAAAAATATCTTGCGCTGTTTACGAACTTTGGTAAACATTTAAACTTTGAAACCGTAACCGTGAATAACATTTCTAGGACCTAAATCAAAAACATTAATACAATTGCATCAAATTACAATCTATAAGTTCTTATAGAACAAAATAATTTGTTGTGTAGACTGCTTCATAAATATTTAAAAGTTGATTGTTTTTCAGTTCTTCTTTACATTAAAAACGGAAATTTTAATGTTACTAAGATATCAACTTTTGTTTTTTTTTTAAATTGTTAGATCACCACCAATATTTTAATAAAATTTGAACTTAACTTTTCGATTTTTTTTTTTAGATCCACGACAATGGACGGAGGGTCAGGTGGCACACTGGCTAAGTTGGGCAGCTCGTGAGTTCTCCTTGGAGGGCGCAGCGGCTCCCAGGCCTCTGAGAATGCGTGGCCGAGACATGTGCGCGCTCGGCAGAGAAGCATTTTTAGCCTTAGTACCCCCTTTTACCGGCGACATTTTATGGGAGCACCTAGAAATACTACAGAAAGGTAAGATATTGTTAAATTACTTTGTACTTGAAAACTTTTACATTCATTAAGTAATTATTTAATAACACGTGGTTTTTAATAGAGTCTGTTCTAGCCTCTGATGCGTCTATAAGTTATTCTCAAAATTTTTTTTTGTGATTTTATAATCTACGTTTATAGACCTTATACGGCGTAAGGTCGCAAATAGAAATATTTGTTGTGAAATGTGTTATAATAAAATAAGATCTTACCTTTAATCTTGACGGGATAAGCAAAAAACAAAATTCTGCTCATTGTCTCAAAATATACATAAATGATTTTTGCATTTGGCAAAACTAAGTTTTCCTATCTTGGTCACATTCAATTTTCCATTTTTACGTAAGAACAAAATAACGATACCAGAATTGTTGATATTATAATTCACTTCAAATATTAATTCAATGAACGAGCATTTATATTTAGCGACTCATCTTATTTAGAAGAAACAAAACAACTTCATTGTTATATACTTTAAACTTTATCTTCTAATACAGGCATTGGTAAGAAACCTTTGGGTTTGACTGCATTTATTTTGGTTCAAAGAATAAATTTCAGGTTTCGTAAATGATTTTACAATTAATCGTTTTAATATAATTCGATTAGTCATCTTTAAATATGTTCCAGATCTAGAACGATCACCATTAGCCGGATTTCCTGTCGATCCCTACGATCCAGCTTGTGCACCTGATATGGCTGCGTATCTTCACGGCCAGCAGAGCAGGCAAAATAGGCATAATTATAACACCTCACATACAGGTAAGTTTCTTGCTGTTAATCATCTCGTTAATCGCATACCTGTTTAGATGGGGATGCGATAAATATTTTCCTAATGTGTATTGAAGAAATATATTAGCCATACAAAAATCAGTGCAGAATAAATCCTTTCATGAAATAGAACCAACCTACGTATTGTTGGTTGGTACTGTCATTAAATATGTATTGCAAATTATGATGTTTCATGTACTAATATGAGTATATATCGATGAATAATACATTTTTAATGATATATAATTATATTAATTAATATTATATAATTATTTTTTCGATTTTATGTACATTTGTGGTCTATAAGTCTAATTTAAAATACTCTAAATTTTTTAAACTAATATTTTTAATATTGGTTGATAATTTCAAATACTAATATTTTTAATATCGTTTTTTTCTTGCAAAAAATTCACAAAATTGACTTATGCTCATAGGGTGAAATTATTACCTCAATTTTATAAAATGACGTACAATGAATGAAACCAATAACAAATAATTATTAAAGATATCTTACTGAATATAATATTCTTTTGTTTTTATTAATTAATTAATTTTATTAATTTTTGACATAAAAATACATTTTTTTCACATCTAGTGTATATGTAATAGCTTTGAACATGTTTGCTTCTTGGCTCTTTAACTATTTTGCAAAGTTATAATCTTGAAAGTGAATGCATTTAGAAATACTGACTGATAAATTATAATTATAAATTAAACTATATTAGAAGAAATAATTCTCGGATCTCTTTGATAAGAGTCAAAAAAATTTAATATTGAGTAGTGATTTTCAAGTAATATTCATTTATTTCACATTAGTTAAAGTTGGTCAGTTCAAATTTCCTGAAATTGGGAAGTAAAACTATAGGGAAAAATGACTTTCAAAAATACAAAATCTTCTGACTATTATCAGAGATAGTTCAAAAGTATGTGCGTCAAAAGCGTTTCATATTATTAGATGCCATTATAATGTCTTTAATAAAGATCATATGAGTATATAGAGTCTATATTATACTCTTTTGATTACTTATTGATTTTTGCGAAATACAATACAAGTAAACCACACTTATAAAACGAATCGACGAAATAAAACATGTGCAAAAAAACGAATTTATATAGGTTCTATAAAATAATGAAAACATTATCTTTGCACGAATCAGACGATGTACAACTTATTACATTACGTGTTTGTATATTATTTTAACCTTGGCCTGTCTCCAAACAAACTTAACATCATATGTCGAAAGTTTCTTTATTTTCCATCATATATAGGTATAAATATAAATACATTTATATATATATATATATATATATATATATAAGTAATATAATTACAATTAATTTGATTACTGCGGTTTCTATATACATATATACATTTAATGACAAAATTATTTTGCAATGCTCGTTGTGTGCTTGTCGGATGGTCATTGGAAATCTAATTACTACATGAGGTCTGTTCAAATAAAGAACCAAAATGATTTTATTACCATTATTAATTTTGTTTCAAACGCGGTTTTGAAATTCACGAATGATAAGTGTTTTATTGTGTATTTTGTCCTATTTAAAATCTATGGAATAATAGAAATGAATCATGATGGAATGAATGGACGTTGAATTGAAGTGTACGTATATTATTATTGAACGTGAATTGAAGTAGTCGTATATTATTATTTATAAATTGAATATTTTATTAATGATTGTTCTTTTGAAGTTGTTCTTTTTATTAATCAAATGTATGTTATTACACAACTATTTGCATTTGATTATAAATAGCCAAAAACTTCTCAAATTTTGACTTCGACAATTTTTGTATAAACATCATTTGAATGTTATTAATAATGGGATGCTTCAACTGAATATAACTGATATTATTTCCAATAAGTTTGAATATGAGAGAATTTTTATTCTATTTGGAAACTCGTACTAAAATTCATATTTTTGCTGAAGTCCAGTTTTCTTCGCGACCTCTTGAACATATGGTTTTACCAAATTCTAATTTTATTTGAATTTAACATTATTTCTTATTATATTTTTATTTATTTATTTATTTTTACTTATAGTCACGCTGTGCGTTTGTGACAAATGTACAGTCATTGTTATGATAGATATTTTGAAATTGTGGCTCTATTGATTAGTAATGAATTTTTATCAGTATACACAATGACTTTCTACGGATCAGTATAAATTAAACTCACTGTAAACAATAAACCAATTAATTACTTATTAATCAATGCCATGCTTGACGTAAAGCCTGTTTGCTAAATTTTAGGCAAAACAAACGGTGGATGCCCATACACACAATACTCTTATCATCATCCAGTTGTGAAACACCTCTTTAGGCAAATCCAATGTTTGTGATGAAAAAACTCGTAAGATCTAAACCTAAACCATGAACTATACTAGGTCTAAACTGGTAGATCTGAAACCACTACCACAAAATGGTACTAAAAGCTATCAAAATGCTATTTGATTACTATGCAGTCAGGCTTTTTAGATAGAAAACTTAATCTAACGCACAATCTTATTATAAGTGCATCTGCGTGATGTGGTATGATAAAACATATATGAAGTTCGATTTTGTCTAAAACGCCTAATTGAATAGCAAATATAAAGCATTTTAACAGGTATTTACCAAAACATTTTTTTGGTACTATTTTATACGAAAAACGCTACGAAACATAGCCTTGCCATAATATTGATCTATTTTACTGATTTACTAGTTTATAATTGAAAAAATAGCAGATCAGTTTTGCAAATCTCTTTGCAATTTTAATTGTTTTGAATTTATTTTTCTTATAAGTCTTCAATTTTATCTTTGTGTTATTTATATTAATTTTTGTCAAGTTTAAATCATGACATTGAATTATTTAATACTACCTTATAAACTTACATGATAATTCATATCTTTACCTAAAATATCGCACCAACGTAAGTAGATTCTTAAATCGACTTCACTATCTAAAAGAAACGATTTTAACTATTCTAGTGAAATTTTAGACTTCATTACAAATTGTTGTTCATCTCGAATAACAATAGTTTATATCGTACAATAGTTTAAAATGTCCTTTAATGTCACTCTATGGGTCCTCAGCACTTTCGGGTCACATTCCAAATTTTTCGATATTTTACCAAATAATTAAGGTTTTTTTTGTAAGATGATGCCAAAATCTTAATTCTATAATGTTGCAAGACCGATATCAATATATGATCTTTATAAACTTTCCAACCTGAAATAACATTTTCATACAAAGAAATTAGAACATTAAAAGTCGCTGTGATTTGAAAGTTCCATAATTTATTTTAACTTTATTTCTGTATAAAATTCATTAAAAAATGAATATGAATGAATTCATTAAAAATTGTTTAAACAGAACAAAACAGAATTGTTTGTTTCCCTAATTTTTTTGAATGCAAAATAAAAATTTGGCCCATAAAGGGTTAATTCAATTCATTATTATGAAACAATACTTATTATTGATATTTGATATTGTTATCAAATCTTTTATAAATTTTAAAAATTTGTAAAGTTTGTTTCAAGAAGAATAAAATTCTTAAATTTTTTTTGAGGATTTTAATTTCTTTTTTCATAGGATATTTGTGCATAGGAGGTATAAGGAACTACTAACCATTTTATTTTTCTCACGATTCGTACATATCTATCCGTGCTGGTCGTCTTAGCTAATTTAAAATGATGCTTCTCGAATTAATAGTCACATCCGAAAGCGTAAACTCCGAGCACAAGAACAAATTAATTGATGCTCTCAGCGACGACTGTTAATTATGCTTAATTAAAACGCCCAATCAGTTTTGATCAATCTATACATTTATACAGAGGAAATCAAAACTCAATTATTTAATTAGACATTTATTTCTTCTTGTAGATAGTAATGTAGAAGATATTATATGTGTTCATGTTCAATCTACAGTGGTGGTCCATTAGTTGTTAGTCAAATTTACTTTTAATGATTTCAAGACATACGTATGTAGATTTGTTTGCGTGATAACAGGTATAACTTTGATTTGAAAATTTTGAAATATAATATTATATCGATAGATGTTAGATATTTTTAGAAGATAGATATTAAATAGTAGTACAATTAATGTATCACAAGATATTTTAGATAGATAGATATTGTTGTATAACTTTTGAATGTACTTATATTCAGTGGTGTTGTGCTAATATTTTTTTTGCCGGAACGCTAAAATTTAAAATCCGGTTCATAAACCGGTTCAAAAAATTTGATATATTTCGATAAGAACTCACAAATCTAATATATTGACTTTTTATATAATTAACTCTATTATACACAGCTAGCCTATACATTAAATTGTACAAGTATGAGGGAATCATTGAGTACATAATTTATATTCTTCAATGATATAATCATATTTATTCTGGTATTATTTGTATTCATTAATACTTACAGGTATTTATTATGATATAAATGTACTCAAGATATATTACAATACTTTATAAGACTTAACCTAATAATACGATAGATAACCTATTACCTATCTTACTATACTAGATTATTGTATGTATATCATAGGAAGATATCTATTATCAATCATACCGTGAGATACCTACACCGTCATTATTATAACTTATTATATAACTATTAACTTATTATATACCTACATACTTTTTACTTCTTATAAATATTACTGTCTAATTTATATATTTACCTATATTATATAGGTTTACCTTACGCCCTATGTATTATCTCTACCTATCTATTGCCTATACCGGGAATTGAACCCGGGACCTCCGCGTGGAAGTCGCGCACCTTAACCACTACCCTACCGGATACCCCCACTAATAATATAATATGGGACGCACGGGACATTTTCTAATTAATTAGGTAATTAATACTAAGGTGGCGCGACGACACGCGAAAAAAGACGGTTGATTGTAGCGTTACGGTGGTGTAGTGGATAAGGTCGTCGCGTGCCACGCGGCGGACCCGGGTTCGAATCTCGGTAGGGTTAATGTA